TGTAAATTATTAAATTAAAAAACTAAATAAGTTAAAAATATATATATTAGAGGCTCATTTATCCGCCCCTAATAACTAAATTTTGTATATGGGGTTTTTTTGCCCCTAAAAGTAGTAACTTTAATAGGGGCGTGTTGCAGTGCTATTAAATTAGGAATATGATTGTGTAAATCCTAGTGTATCTAGGGATATCTTTGAATATTCCCTTTAGTAGTTAATATCCTATTAGAGTTGTAATTCTATTAGGGTAAGGAATTAATCTTCCCTACTACTTTAAATAAGGGCACAATGGGGTGGAATAGAACACACCTCACAATTACACTTTCTCTCTTCTTCTCTCTATGTGCCGCACCCCTCTCTTTATGAAGTCAATAATTATTTGGTAAATTATGCTTACAACATGGTGTTTATTGTTTTGCCTCTATTACAATTAATAGAGACAAATTTATATTTCTACCCTTAATAAAGATTAATAGGGACAAATCCTTATATCCGCCCTTAATGTACTGCCCCTAATAATCACTATTCTCGTACCTTAGAGACACTCACTATAGTTTCTATAAATAATAAAACAAAATTATATGATTTGAGAACCATATATAATTGAAACTCTATTACTTCGTTGAAACGTTATTTTGAGTCAAATTGAACTTCATGAGTCTAGCATGAAAAATCCAGATTAGACTCATTTGACGGGGTAGACTAAAATATTGGAATGAAGCTACATAGACAACTGTAATTTGTCTTTGTTTTGTTAGGTTTATAGATCTTGGATGAATACGTTTTCTTTGTGTTAATTACCTCCACTAAATTCCTCAACAAACAAAAATCAATTAAAGAGTATTTAAGGATTTTATGAGTTTGTACGTTACAACTTTAAAATCATACATGCACACAGATTATTTGAAACAGTAAACAATGTAATTTATTCGCATGTGCATAACTAGAAGAGTCTGAATTATCTGCTTTTAATGTTAAAATTGTGTTTATAACCAAAATATATCATTTCATTTTTTTATTGGTTATATATAGACGACACTTTATTGCATTGGTAGGAATTAAGCAATGCCTATACATCTTGGTGCAAGTCTATATGTATATAACATTTCTATAAATAATAAATACTAACCATAAATTTATATCTCTCAACTGATCCAAAAGATAAAAACCATGTCATGTTGGGCGCGAACTTTAGCTCAAGATATAAGATAAACCGCAATTAGCTAAAAGGTTCCTCTTTTAATATATGGTTATTGAAATGATCGAAGTAAAATATCGACGACATATTCATTATATATCAACAACAGAATGATGACACTAAAACAAATTATTTCACCAACCAAATGTCAAAAGTGAATCATTTCAGCCAAAAACCCTAAGATATAAAGGAGAAGAAAAAAATTTCAATTTAGAATATGTGCAAGTATATTTTGGAGACGAACTGCATCATTTTTTAACACATTTACAAGCGAAGAAAAGTACTAGAGTGAGGCAATCAATTCTAATTACTAGAATCTCGCAAATGGGTTATTACCACAATGACGAAAATCAATTATATCTATATACTTTGATGTGGGTTCGATCCTCGTTCAAGAAAATAAAGGTCAAGAACAAGGTCCTCATTTGAAATCAAACTTACTGAATCTGGCTCGAAAGAACCAGTCTTGTTTGTTGGCAACCTTCTTGTTGAGCTTGATTTCCTTGAAAGCTTCAAGCTTTTGATGACGGGGCACTGATTATCATAATGAAGCATTAAGTTCCTGATGACGGATTTGAGTTCTTTTTTAGCATCTCTGAGTTAGGTTTTGGACGACCAATGTTGCTGTCTTATTTCTTGAAGAAGAACAGAACCATCATCCACAATCAAAGAAAACTCAGGATCCACTAGTCTTATACTTCTCTTTACCTTGAAGAACAACATACCAACATATTCCCACACAAAAAAAAAAAATAAATAAAAACTCAAAATCCACTAACCTTAAACCATGAGCTGGTGACTCAGTAGTAAATGTCGGATTGTGAGACTTTCTTCAAACTAAAAATTGGAGGTCGGGTTCCAAACCCGGCTAGTGTAGAAGCCAGACTTGTGGCCAGGAGAAGGTTAAAATGTTTCTGTGAGTCTTTCAGGTCTCCGAAAATGGTGGATAATCGTGACTTGCCACCGATCCTCCTTTTTTTTTAAAAAAAATCCCCTAACCTTACATTTCTTTTTAAATTCTCTCTAATCCCACAATCGTTACTAAATAGAGTTGAGTATGGTGAAAACACATTAAAATTTATTTTACTCACAACAAATACGACTACCAACCCAATTTTTCTTGAGTAATATACACATTCCAGAAATTCCTTAGGTATTTTCCTAAACTATGTTATTTTAAAATTCCACAAGAAATTGATGAATTGAAGTTGGCTTTGTACTGAACTATAGGAAAAGATTAGAAGATCCTCAGAATATTTCTTGTGCAAGTCATGGTCGATATAAATACACACAATTCACTGAACCCTAAATAACATTGTCATGCTATATATGTTAGTAATAATAACAATCGAGTGGTCAGACAATTAAATTAACGCTCATGCATACCATCTTGTAGTATAAGTTACTACATGGAGTTAATTTACAAAATGCTACTTTTACCATATTTTACATATCACATCGGTACCACCTTGTAATAGAGATGAGACTCATATATGTTGTTGAAGTCAAAATGGTACAAATATAATATGAAAAATGTGATAAACGTAACATTACTTGTTAATTTGTGATTTTGTGATTTTGTGCATCGTGAATGTCTCTCGATTGATTTGTTTTGACCAAATCTTGAAATATAGTTTCTTTTGTCCAAAATCTAGAATATTATAAGGGGCATCAAATTCATGAGACTCTGGTGGCTCTTTTCCCCTTTTTTGCAGAAGTATATAAAAATTTAATTACATAATGCAGTCCCACAACAAGCATGTACTCAAATCTTATTTAAATTAAGAGAAGTCTTATTGACATTCCAAAAATTTCATTCTATGTTCTCCATAAATGTATTTTACTTTCATAATATAGAAAATTCGGAGTGTAGAATAATTTTTTTAAAATGCTAATAATAATTCTCTAAATTAATATCCCATTTGATTGTTCTCAAAATTGTGTGGACTGTGGAGCTTCTTTGAATATTCTTTTTTTTAGGCTTTGTAATTTCCCCCCACTTTCTTATAAAATATATTCTGTTTCTCTTGTCAGATATTTATGGTTTAGCTGCTACTGAGTAATCCAAACTCCAAGGAATTACTTCAACTCTCATACAAAAATTTTCTTGAACACTTGAAAGCTAAAAAGGGAGGGGGGAAAATAGCAACCAGCAATTATTTTCTGTATATTTTGTTGATACAACAATTGCCACACAATAAGTTAACAATAATTTAGTATCGAACTCGTTATTTATCCATCAAACATTAAACTTTAAACTTAAAAATGAAGAAGAATATCATAAGAACGCATTAGTCCTTGAGGCAAGCTCTATCACAACCTATAGCTAGCCAATTAATTTATTTAGTAGAATTTTTTTCAATAAATTTTGTTGGTGATCTAAGCCACCATTATCGATATTCCCCAGCCAAAAAGTAGAAAATAAATTACAATAACAAAACCCTTAATTTGGCCACATTTCTGTTTTTTCGCCAATTATGTACAGCTTTAACGGAAACAAAACAAATTAGTTGATCTCAAAGGATTAGCATCCTTAAAAACTCAATTACATGACTAAATACATAGGGTCAGTCAGAATTGATTAAGAGATAAAGAAAAAGGGGGTTAAGAAGCTGCCATTTATGTCGTAAATACAAATTAAATTGGGAATTGTTATTAGCATTACAAAAATCTCATTTTGCACTCCAAACTTTCTATAATTAAAAAGAAAAATACACTAGTGAGGAGTATAGAATAAAATTTTTGAAGTGCTAATAACAGTTTTCATTAAATTATATAAACCAAAACTTTCCATAACTTTCAACTGACTTGAGCCTCTGCTCTGAGCAGATACTTTGAGTCACGCCAAGCCAAAGCTAATAATATTCTCTCGGTAAGACGAAAGATTTTTGCATTTTTCCTTTTTTATTTCCTCACAATCCAACCTTTTGAAGACAACCCACACATGGAAAACAGATTTTTGCATTTTTCCTTTTTTATTTCCTCACAATCCAACCTTTTGAAGACAACCCACACATGGAAAACAATTTTTCTTTTTTGGTGGATAATTAATGAAAATTCAGCATCATTTCACCAATATTATGGTCATTAAAAAGTCTCTAGCTCAGCAAACGTGAATAAGTTAGTTGGCTGGAACAACAGTGTGTCGCCCTCATACCCTCATTGTAATGTAATTAGGTCAATTGGCCAAAGGAACTATGTGTCGCCCTCATATACTCACGTTCAAATCCTAATTCCAATAGAATAGAGTAGTGTACAATAACGCTGTTGAAAAAATAAGAAAGAAAGAAAAAGGAATCTAACTCTGTTTCAAATCTTTACTGGTTATGCAGATCTGAGACAAAGGTGTACAGTGGGGGGCAGATCAGTGAGTAAGAATTAGCTTCCTCTTCCTCCTCATGAACTGTGAAATGTCACTAGTAAAAGATGTTGTGGAGTTGCTTTTTTTTTTTTTTTTTTTTTTTTTTTTATTGACAAAAAACATACATGGGTTGCTCAACCTCTTTTGAGAACGACTTCTTCCCAATTAAAAATTTAAATTAAATAAAAAAACAGGAGCAGTTAGCTTCTACTTGGAAACAGAACACATGACCGGAATGATTCTACTTAATTCTCCAGCTACAGAACTCTATAATTACGAAAAACCAACAAAACTCAGAAAAATCATGTCAATATTTGAACTACGAAGTTCTTGAATTGTTAGAATTATGAATGAACAATTTCTATGAATTATAACAAAAACCCAATTGGCATAACAAGTTTGGAAGAACAACAGATCCAAGAAATGCTCAAAAATTGACAAAAAAAAAAAAAAAAAACTGTTGTATTTTTGTGGTTACCTTTGATTCAAAGCTATGTCATTGATCTGTGTGTGAAGAGAAATAAAAATTTCAATGGCAATTTATAACTTCATCTTCTAACGTGGTTCACAAACTCTGCATCAGAAACTGCAGAGAGCTCGATTTGACTGATTTCATCATCGTCAACAGGAGCAGGCAGATTAAGATCTATCAAACTATCACCAAGCCTACTTAAACTCTTCCATGGAAATGGAGGACTGCTATTGCTTGCTGCTGCTGCTGCAGAACCAGTCATCACATGAGATCTTTTGTGCCCTCCAAGCGCTTGACCAGATGAAAAAACTCTAAAACAAACTGGGCATTCATGAATTTTTCTTTCAGCCACAGAGGAAGAATTTCCTGCTGCATTGAGATTTTCTTGCTCCAATTCGGGCTCGTAAATGGGGTTCAGATTCGAAGCCTTAATCTTCTTATGGCTTGCTCTGTGACCACCTAGAGCCTGATAAGATTTAAAAACTTTGTTGCACGTTTCACATTTGTATTTCCTTCGAGCAGTTCTAATTCTGGGGAACTTGATCAGATGCTCCTCAGAATCTTCCGTGTCCTCCATTGATCTTTCTGCTTCATCGGCTTGTTCTTGTTCCTGTTCTTGCTCATGTTGGTGGTTGTGGTCTTGTTTTCTCCATTTGTCTCTAGATAGCATCATGAGGCAGAAGGCGACGTCTTCCTCTCTAGTGGCATCAGAAATTGAACTAACCGGTTCAGGCTCGAAAGAATCCTTGCTGCTGACCACTTTGTTCTTGAGCTTAATTTTCTTCAAAGCTTCGAGCTTTTGATGATGGTGGTACTGAATATGATTGTGATGATGATGAAGCTCCATCACAGAGGATTTTCGTGTTCTTTTGGATCGTCTCCGAGTTGGGTTCTTTGACGACTCTGTCTCACTCTCTCTATCTTGAAGAACAACAGACCCAGCATGCGCGGCAAAAGAATCCTCAGGATCCACTAGCTTTATGCTTCTCTTTGGATTCTCTCTAAGGCCATAAATCATATCATCGTCTTCTTCTTCGCCATCATCCTCTGACGAAGACGAAGCTGAAGCTGAATTGTCTACCTCATCCATGGTGAACTGGGTTTGTTCTCGATTCGATTCTTCTTCTCCTGGTTTCGGAGGAATAGGATGGTTCCTCACGTGAGACCTCATATGACCCCCCAAGGCTCTGCCATTGGGGAAACTCCTCATGCAAATCTTACACTCATGCTTCTCCATTGCAGTTTACTCAAAAACCATAAATTTTAATGAATCAAAACACAGAAAAAAACGGAGAAATTCAGAGCTCTCCCTTCTTTCTTGGAAAGAGGATAGTGGAAGGAAGCTAAAAAAAGAGTAGGTGACAAGCATTCCTCCAAAAGAGATATATACAAACCTACAAAAAAAAAAATTAATTTTTTAATAAATAATTAACAGAAAAAAAAAAGATGGGTTCTTTTGGGTTTTTAATTTTTTTTGGTCTATTAAAAACTGCAAAAGTTTACAATAAATTAAAATTTAATTAATTGAAAGCGTATCCATGAAGGTTGAAACTTGATGGAGGGGACATGTAACATGCGAAGATTGCCCGTTTCTGTGTTTATTCCTCTTACCCCCGCACCTTCTGTCCTTTATTTACACAACTTCTTTTTGTTTCCCAAAATGCCCTTCTCAGTCCAACATTTAAGAGCCAAGGAAATTGGATTTTCATTTTTGTGCTCCAGAAGGGTAGTTCTGGGATTTTGGGTACTAGGTACCAGAATAAACCGGTGGCTTCCTTGTCCAAGTCAAGGAAACTGCTGGGTTTGTTGTAACGACGAAGCTGAATAAAACACCGTGGTGTCCTCCGAAGGAAAAAAAACGACCACATTTGTTTAACTCACCCAGCGGTGATGAAGCAACAATAACAAACGCAAAACGTCCACATGTCGTCATCAGACGTGATCTTTTTATGATCGGTCCTACACGAATTAATATCGACACTCGTTTTTATTTCTTGCCGTTGATTAAAATAGATTAATCGAAAACAATGTATTTAATTAAAGAGAAATGAGTTGGAAGCGAAAAATAATATGTGATAATTATTTCATTAATCATCTTAAGTACAGTTACTAGAAAGGAGAAAACTGAACAGGATTTATTTTATTTTAAGATTCTGTAGCCTTTTACTTAATGGCAGTGACGTTTTGGCCAACCTTTAGCATGCCTGTTGGTCCCTTATTTATTTATTTACTCATGTTTTCCCCTTAAATAAAATTAATGAAATAAATTGAAAACAAAATAAAAACAGACTGAATTGAAGCATAGCTAATTTGTTGGTGTTTATCGAAAAAGAAAGAAAGTAATTTGTTGGTGTTTTTCTTTTTAAAAAAAAAATTTGTTAGTGTTAATTGGTATTAGTTTAATTTCCTTTAAATTTGGATCTTTAGTTGAAATGTCTGATGAAAAATGAATGGTGGGAAAATGAGTAGGAAACTAACCTCCTTTTGAGAAGGGAGTTTTGTATGGGGAGTGAGTGAGTGAGTAAATGTCGTTTTGTTAGGGGGATTTGTAGACCCGGTCCTCCTATGTGCTCCCCACATTTTGAGTTCTAACAAAGTCTTTCTCCAAGGGCATATAATAACATAACACAAGTTGAGCAAGGAACATGAAATTGGATAGCAATTCTCGCGTGCAAGGAAGATAAGCAATTGGAATTGACATTGTGACAACTGCAAAAAGTAATAATTTGAGAGATTTCCAAGGGGCAATTCTCTTGTAACTTGTTGAAGTATTGACGTAGTTTAATGTTGTCGATTTTCATACTTATATTATGCATGCGGAGACTTGGCAAGTACTAGAGGAAAACAATGAAGTGGTAAAGAAAATGTTCTAGATGGAAACAATGACGATAAAACTATTAAAACAAGTATACAGTGTCCAAAGGCCAATTAAGGGTAATCTGATAGCATTATGAACTTGGCAAGTACTTTATGGTTAGCGTTAAAACTAATGAAACTGGTATAACCAAAAATTCATTGCGTAACTCTGGCTATCATATCATGCAAGGATTAGGATAAGAAGTAGAGTAGGTTCATAATTCGATTCCTCCGATGAGATTTAAAAAATGGGTTTTTTTTTTAACTTTAATCCTTTAAAAAGATTGAAATTTAAAATAAATTTGGTGTTAGATTACATATTGATTATAATCCCTTGATGTGTCCTTAATTCAAAATAATTAATATGCATTTTATTAAATGTGTCCCATTTAATTTATTAATTTTATTTAACATTCTTCAAACTTGAAAGACTCAATTAATGTACCTAAATGTTAGTACCGAAATATATTATATTGAAGTAATGTATTTAAATGTTAGTACCGAAATGTATGTACCGAAATATATGCACCGAAATGTATTATATTAAATTAATATACCTAAATGTGTGCACCGAAATGTATGCACCGAAATATATTATATTGAATTAATGTACCTAAATGTTTGTATCAAAATGTATGTACCGAAATGTGTGTACCTAAAAATATGTACTAAAATGTATTATAATGAATTTAATGTACCTAAATGAAGAAGACAAAGTACATCGAAATATATTGTATGACAAAAATTAATTTATCATAATGTTTACAACAAAATATATTACGATAAATGAAATGAAAATTATAATTATAATGAAATAAAATTAATACATTAAAAATTAGGAAGAAAAAAGAGAAATAATTAAAAAATAAAAATATAATTAATAAATGAGGTTATTAATATATTAAGGGACAAAAATTAGATTTTAATCTTACACATGGTTTTAATCTAAAAATCATCTTTGCCAAGAATTAAAATGAAGTTTTCTATTTAAAAATAATAATAATTTGGAATGAAGTTATTAATGTTTTAAGGGACTAAAATTAGATTTTAATCTTACACATGGTTTTAATCTAAAAATCATCTTTGCCAAGAATTAAAATGAAGTTTTCTATTTTGAAAAAAACAAAAGGGAAACTTGATATAACTCCAATTTTTTGAGCCAATAGTAGGAATAGTCCAGTTTATTAAAATAAGTTCAATTCTTTAAATTTAATTATTTAATTATCAATAATTATCTCTTAAAAGAAATTAAAAATCAAATTTCTTCCTAATTATCTCTTTGATTATTTATTTTTATTTTTTATTTTTGTTATTTCTTGTTCTTCCTCCCACTTTAACCCATTTATAGATTTTTTTAAATTTTTATAATCAACCTATATCACAGGTTAATTGTATTTATCTACCTATATGACAGATTCTTTTCTTAGTCAACCTGTCACAGATTAATGTGTCTTGCTTGTAGGTATATTATGTTTTTTTTTCTACCTTTTAGTTAGGTTTCATATCTCACTTATAGGTATAATATACATTCATATATTTGCTACTTGAGTTGGAGGTAGAATGTTTTGCAGATAGATTTATGTTAGTATATTAATTTTTTTTTTGTTTATAAGATATTAATTAGATATTTTGGAGTTGAAAAATGCATAATATTAAAAGATTTTAATTCATTTTTAATATTTTTAGAAAATATAAAAGGAGTATAAAAGAAATAAAAACATATAATTAGATAATTGGAGTCACTCCTAAAAACACTCTATGTTTTTGGACCTGGATCTCAAAGCCCCTAAAAAAATAACAATTTGGTGGCTTGGAATGACAACAAATGGAGGCCTTACCTAAGAATAGCTATAAAAAAAAGTTAGAGGTATTTGTCGAAACCCCCCTAAACTTGTAACCTAGTGCCAATTTACCCCCTTAACTTCAATTTCAGTCAATTATCCCTCTAAACTTTTATTTATGGCCAAATTTTCCCTTGCCGTTTAAATTTGGGAATCTTAATGAAACACTCCCGGTACTGTTCACTTTTAACGAAAATGACATTTTTACCTTGAAAAATTACTCTTGGTACTATTCACTTCACCTTTATTTTGTCATTTTCATTAAAACTGAAGTTTTTGAGAATTTTTCGCTAGTTTTTCTTTTAAATTTGGGAGCTTTAAAGAAAAGAGCTTGGGCCAAAAAATATTTAACCAAAAACCATCTCAAAATGGCTCAAAGTTTAATACAAACCCATCCAAAACTATTGTCCATGGGCCCAATCTGCTACAAATCTACACTTCTGTAAATACCCCTAAATGATTCGATATTGTCTTGACTCTTCACCAACCTCAACCCAGCACGAAATCGCTATAATAACTCTTTGTCTTCCTATCAAATCGAATTCCCCTATTTCAAAAACAACCAAATCAAAGTTAAAAAATGAAGTATTCATCGGAACAAAGCCGCTGAAACAAGTTCAAGGAAGTTCAATGGCAGAAACCAGTGAAAAAGTGGTGAAAACTTACCAGAACCTCCATTGAAAGAAAATAAAAGCATTGTACAAGGATTTCAAGGCTGACCAAACCCTCAAAATAGAGATTGAAAGATGCTTGTGCACAACAAAGAGAAGACTCGTAAGTACAAAAAATAGTTTCATGTCATTATTTGGGTTCTTTTTCATAAACATTGTGCCTATTTTGATTTGGATCCAGAGGCAGTATGTTATGTGTAAACAACTAGACAACACTTTATCGTTTTTCTTTTTCATAAAAAGTGTGCCTATTTTGCTTTGGATCCAAAGACAATATTATATGTGTTGCTTGTTTTGCTTAAAAAATTAGAAACATTGTGTTTATTTTTCTTTTTAATCCATAAACAGTGTGATATTTGACCTTTAATTGTTTCTTCAATTCCCTACATGTGTTCCTTTTTTTTTTTTAGCTTTCTTTTCGTGAAACAGTGTCAGAAATGTAGACCATTTTTTTCACTCCTTATCTATCATCTAATGTTATAAATTTATCTCCTTATCTATCATACTTCTTTGTTTTGTAAAAAAATGTAGATTGGATTGCGGCTTATTTGTCATTCACTTTGCAAACCAACTTCAAGAGGGCAAACCAATAGAATCCACTTTTCACAAGGAAGATGTATTTATGAAGAGAGCTTCATTTGCAACTATATTGGTGAATCATCCACACATTTATCCAAATGAACTGAAAAGGTTGCTTGAAGGAAAAAGGGTTGCTAGGAAATATGATTACATTGATGAACTTTTAGGAGATGATGATGATGACCATATTTCATTGTAATGACTGAGTGATATGAACTTATTAAATTCCAAGTTATATATTCTAGTTTATTTCCTAAACCTCCCAAAAATCAATTTCCTTGTAATTTTGCTACATCTATTACAAAAAAGAATATAAAGATCATAGAAAACCAGAATTCACTGTTTTTGGAACATACACTGTTTCTGGAACCAACACTATTTTTGAAACTTGTTTTAATTACGTTTATATAAAAGGGGTGTGCTATCCACACACCCTTTTAATTTTTGGCCGTTAGATCGAATGAATTGAAGAAGATCAAAGGATAGAAATTAATGAGGAGTGTGTGAGAAGTAAAAAGATGTGTGTGGATATCACACCCTATATAAAAAACATACACTATTTCTAGAACAGAGTTCACTTTTTTTTAAACTATAACACTAATAATATACACTGTTTTTGGAAGAAGTGTTTGTTTTCTAGAAAAATTGGTCAAATTATCAT